CCCCCCCCCCGACTATTTTCTCTAGGACTTTCCGAAAAGTCGATACCCTGCCGATTTCCAGTGATCCAACGAACAAGTGTGTTTGGGTAAATGTGTCGAAGCCCACCGACCCAACCGGTGTCGTTGCCCTCTTCGGTCTGCTCACGCTGGCTGCCCTACCGTCCACTTGGCGATCTTCGCTGCGAGCTATCTTGTCCCCTCCCGCGAAGCATCCTCTTATTCCCTCTCCCACGGAGCACCTGTCGTCCCGCGGACTTTGGCGCTAGGGGCTCGCCAGAGGTAAGTAGACTGGTTATCAGTCGGCACAACATCATCGTCGCGAGGAGACCGGAAAGACCGTCCGCTTAAATAGACGGCGTAGCCCTCTACGTATAACAAGCCTGACTGGTAGCATCGTAGACCGTGAAGTAATCGTGAACCCAAAAAGCACGTGGGGATCCATAAATCGGTAAGCTCGATCGGCAGATCCTTAGATCCACAGCCGTATCGAATCGACAGATCCCGGCTACGTCGTATCAATTTACATAAACACAGTGAAATCCACATAACGCCGAGCATCGCGAATGCACTCGGATCGTCGAGTCGTCATTTGTCGTGGTTAACGCCGAACGAGACCTCGTGAGAGTAAACAGGTACGCGAGTACCGCTCTGGCTGGGCAAGTGGCTCTGGCAAGTACCGAAGGCTGCGCCCGCCTGCCACCAGTAGTACCGGGCTAACGGAGTAGATCGGAGTCGCTCTGAGCGCTAGAGAGGTTCCTGGATCCTGAAGAGCGCAACGGAAGACACGGTGCTCCCGCAGCCGAAGAAGACCGAGGCTCGTCCGAATGCCGGAAGTGCGAGCCGGTATGGGAGTCGACGTGTGATTTCGGGACTCGGAAGTAGCGGTGATATGTGAAGTGACGGATGCTCTCGCGACCACTCGTACATAGGAGCAGTGGGAGTGAATCGGTACGCGCAGCTTCCCTTCTCCCGGTCCCCTCTCTCCCTCTACCGTAACTTCACTTTTTCCTCCTCTCTCTCTCTCTATCTCCCTTTCTTCCTTCTCCATCCTCTTTCATGTCACCCCTTGATCGACCCCTAGACTCCTCAGCTACTCGTTATCCATTCTCTTGATATTCTTCATAATCTTCTCTCTCTTCATCTTGTCCCTTCGTACCACTGTCGTCCTCTCTCTCTCTCTCTCTCTCTCTCTCTCTCTCTCTAAGATTCAAGAGGATCAACGTCCACGTGGCTAATAGAAACGTCCGGTCCCAAGTGCTAAAAAAGAATAATCTCAGCCGACACGTTAATAAATCCTTGGTGCAGATAAGTCAAAACATCCACGGAGCCCGATAAGAATTGAATCGGCGGGATGCGGCACGTGGAGCACCTAAGCTCCAGGTAACACGTGGCGGACTCAGCGCACTCCGCACTCGCGAGGTAAGCTCTCCTCTTTTCTTCTTTTCATCTTTTCTCCTTTTATTTCCTCTCCTCCTCCTCCTCCTCCTCTTACGTACAGAAGAGATCAGCTGTGATTCTAGTCGCACCTATATCGCCTTACGGCGTACGTGCATCTTACTCCAGGAAGAATTCCTCCTCCCCCCCGCGCCTCCACCTCATCCAAAGCATAGAGCGTTCGGAGACGGCGGATATCGTTCCCCCCGGTTAGTCAGAGGAGGGGAGAGAATGTGGTCCATCGGGAGTCAAGAGGGCCTCACCAAATTTTCGTGCCGGGCTCTGTGCGCGATCTCAGCTCTCCACGTGCTTTGGGGCCCACCTCTTGCCGGGTAGCAGCCTACGTTCCCCGTCGACTTCGGACCACTTCTTCTCTCCTTCTCTCCTTCTCTCTCTCTCTCTCCCATCCTCTCTCTCTCTCTCTCTAGCTCGTTTCACCGTTCGCAACGTTCTCGTCCCAC